CTATGGCCGATCTTCGCTAGACAATGACGATTCTTCCCCATTGGAACGCATTAAACAGGTTGCAATGCATTCCAATGGGGAAAATGCTTTTCGCTAGACAATGATTTCGCTAAACAGCGATTTCAGTGGAATAGATTATCATCATCTAGCGAGGCACCACTGTAATTTGAGATGGTGGTGGGGTGCCCATGGGCAGAGCTTTGTTCCTCCCACTCACGGCCACTCTAGACTTAAGACCCTGGGGTGTTTATTTTCGGGCACCATAAGGCCAAGCACTCCAAAACTTGAGTGTTTTGTTAAACCCAGACCATTTGATGTCCAAGGGAGTGTGTGCGAAAGAAACCTTAGCTATAGTAGGCTTCTGCAGATGTCCATAGGGTTTTCCCCACACCAGTTAACAGTCCCAAAACTTGACATCAGAGGAGGTATTCTAGATACAAGATTCCCTGTCAGCAGAGAGTTTATGGGTAGCCTGTGATAGTGCAGATGATACAGCATCACTGGCTGATAGTCTGCAAAGGTTACTCGGTATGGTCAATGCAGTAAGGAATGGCCATCGTCTAAAAAACAAATGTTAAGAAAACCAAGTTAGTAGCAGGCAGCAGAAAAGCAAGCAAACCAAGAAATGCATTTGAAGATCTAAGATGAAAATGTGGATTGGGTTGATATGTAGTTAAATCCATGTTGGCATCATAGTCATGCGATATGATCTGGAGCAGTTTGCTTAAGATGAGGACACGGAATATTGCCACAAAGCCTTAAAACTGGTTTTCAGAAAGGACGTTGCATGGTGCGATGTACTTTCAGTGATGCTGCACGGCATCAGAATTATGGTCTTCAACACAGACTTCCATAAAAAAAAGACTGAAGCATTTAAAATGTAGATTTATTTCAGGACACAGACTTCCATTTAAAAAAAAAGAGATTGAAGCATTTAAAATGTAGATTTATTTCAGGAGGCTAAGAATTTCTTGGCTTGAGTGGGTGGCCAATGTACTAAGCCAAATGAATAAAGATAAGAAACATAAAACACACACGCGGCAGAAAGCTCCAATACCCTGGCCGTGCAATGAGAAGTAAAAAAAAAAAAAGCAGAGTGTTACAGCAGATCATTCACAGTGAGATAAATTAGAAAATTACGTATGAGGCAAAGAATGGTGGGATCTGGTTGGGGTGCAACATGACAACACGGTTTAGAGCTGATGCTGCTTAAAATACCCATCATGATGTCCAAGCACCAGCAGAAAAGGAACACAAAGATGGGAGGGGGAGAAGCAGGAGGCATCAGCTTCCAGAGAACAGCAAATTTCCTTACAGAGACTTAAAAAAAAGACCTGGGGCTAAAAGTCTGGCCAAGCCCAGCTGAAAGCAAACCCTGAATCCATCACGCTTTTTATGCATCATAGTAATCTTGTAGGAACTTTCCCTGCTTGTCCCTCTTTTCTTCCTTCTGTTTCTCTAGCAAATGTTTTTTCTGCCAGATGTTCTTGGACAAAAACTCCCAGGAGCCTTCACCCCTCGCTGGGTTGGCCAGGATTTCTGGGAGTTGTAGTCCAAGAACCTCTGGGGGACCCAAGGTTGGGAATCCAGCCTTCTTCCCAGAAGCCCTTGTGGACCTGAAAAGCCCTTGGCACCCTCACGGTCCCGCTGCTTTTGAGGCCAGGTCCTGACGAGAGGGGTTAAAAGTTCTTGTTATCAAGGGAGGACCAGATGTGCGACCCTCCAGATGTGCTTGTCCTGCAAGTATCATTTGGCTTAAGCTGCGCAGCTCATGGTGAGGTGTGATGGGAGCAGCCGTCCCAGAACACCTGGAGAAGTCCATGTGTTTTCTCTTGGTCACTGCTCTGGGCTAAGGCGTGATGCTTTTTCTAAATAATTAAAATGACACCAGAAGAAAAGAGTGGATGTGATCGCTCACTTCTTCTGCTGAGAATAAGGATAAGAAAGAAGGGCTTTGAATTGCGGGAAGACACGCTCAAGGCCAGATATCTGACTCGGAAATGTAGGAGGGCAGGAGATGCTTACGTGCTTCTTTTCAAAGCAAATCACTTTGGGGAAACCAATCTCGGGATGTGACAAAAATCGCTGCCTTTGTAGAGTTCCTGAAGAAGATGGGCGCGGACGTGAGATCTGAGCTTGGAGCCACCAATATGTACTCTTAGCAAGCTGCTTTGGGAAGGAAGCTTGCCCTGCAAAATGGGCAAACACCAGGGCTAATTGCCCTCCTGCCCGACGCAAGAAGTCTCCCTCCTTTTAATTCCATACTCCAACTTCCCCCAGGAGGCCACTGGAACATGGGCAAGTAGGAATAGCCTGGAAGTCTTCTTTCAGATCAATAATCCAGCACTAGGTTTCCCCAGTGGTGACGGATCCTAAACCAGATCTGGTGGGGTTTTTTCTCAGTCCCACCACCATCACAGGGCATGTTTGCTTTCCCCAGTGGTGACAGATCCTAAACCAGATCTGGTGGGGTTTTTTCTCAGTCCCACCACCATCACAGGGCATGTTTGGTGGGGACCCAGCAGAGAGCCCTTTTCTGTGGCTGCTCCCAGACTTTGGAACTCCCTCCCACTGGAGGCCAACCCGGCCCCATCTTGGCCGTCTTTCAGCAAGCAGGCAAAGACCTTTCTCTTCAGGCAGGCTTTCCCTGAGTGACTGGCTGCCTGGGTGAGTTTTATTTAATATTTTTTAATGG